GGGGGAGGGAGGGAAGGGGGAAACCCGAGGGGGGGCCTCGAAATGATAGATACGAGGACGGAATAACGCGCGGACCCCTTGCATCCATACACGATAGCCTCAGTTTCAGTTCGGTTACTTGCTTCTTCTAGCAGTAGGTATAGTGTGGTGCGCTTCTCTTTTATACTCTAAGAGGATGAGACAAGTAGAGAAAAAAATAGAGAGACGAGTTGAGAGAAAGTGACAAGGTGAGAGAACGGAACAATATTTTATAAGAGAAAAAATAGAGAAAGGGGAAATATCGAGAGTGAAAGCAAGAGAAACGGAAAATGTAAGAAGGGGAAGGAAGGAAGCAATTACGAAGAAATCGGTGATAGAACATAAGGATAAGGGGAGTCGGAAGGGTGCAAGATTACGAACGGACGACGTTCTGGACCGTTTCCCCGAAGAGACACATCAGAAATCTCCGAATCTGTCCTTTGTCTCGAGAAAATCTTCCTGATCTTCTTCGTCATCCCTTGTCGGTGGTGCGCGCGGGGGATGACGACACGCGACGGTGGTCCAAGACGAGAGTCGTGAAGCGCTAATTATTTTCGATGAATACACGCGTAATATACACACATATATACACATATCATCATAGCAGAACGGAGGTGACCGGATGCCGGGCGGTGCAGTGATTCGATTGATTCGCTGAAGAGTGTTCGTGGCTTCCACCGAACTTCCGAGTGCCGCGTTAAGTGAATGTACGTGTACGTGCGTGCGTTTGTGTCTCTCTTGCTGCGTGCGTACGTGCGTGTTTGCGAACGAGCGCGAATCGGGGTCTTATACAGTGATCCCTTAGGCGCTCTTGTGTACGTGCGGCCCGCGAAGGAAGAAAAGGCGGCGAGCTCCGTCTAGTTTATCCGAGGTGGTCCATCCAAGTGAGAGCATCATTGTCGTCATCATCGTCATCGTTCTCGTCATCAGCCCCATCTGCGCGCTGTCGCATTTCAATCAGCGTAGCACAGAGGAAGCGACGGCCGGACGCGCGCGCTTCATCGAGCTTTCTTCGATCCTTGTGGTAGGAAATCGCAGGGATTGATCGATATCGGGGTAAGATCGGATGATTGATTATTCATTCATGAGGCCGAGATACCAGAGCAATTGCGAATGTCTGGTAATTTAGCGAAACGGATTTTGAAAACGGAATACTAGCATTAAATTATTTTAATGCTGCAATTTAGTTAATTCTCCAATCCTAGTTATATGATAAAGATAAAAAAATATTGTTAGTAAAAATTGATTACTTTTGACACATTTGAACAGTATGATAGCATAAGTAAAAAATAAACTATTAATCTCTTGAATTGTCTTTTGAGAATTGAAACAAATGAAATATGAAAATATAAAAATAGAATATTATGTCTTCCCTAGTGCACGTATAGATAGATAAATATCTCGTTTAAATGATCGAGGAATTATGCAAAACTATATTATGCAGGATTTATATTAATGATACTTTACACCTGTTTACAAAATATACTATTATGTCCAAGAATTCTTCCAGATACACGAAATCTCCTTTGCCTTTGCATTTCGCAATAGATTCGATTGATTGAGATCGCGTCAGAGAAATCTACGTCATAGTGAAACACGTCATCTCCGCTACCATTTCTCTTATCAGGCATAGCTATTATACTATCGCTGGAATAGAGACGATTACATCCTTAATTTTGTCAGGTGCACAAGTACAAATATAGACGATTCTTGAGATCGATTTTAAAGATCGATCCGAAACGAATTTCCACACAACGATATCATAGACATTTATTAAACAACGTATATTAAATTTATTTGCTACGTAGCTATGATTTTGTTAAATTGGCAAATTATAATTATCTATGATTATATTTATAATATTTGAAAACACATGTGAGTGGAATTGTCAAGTTTACTTTATAATACAGAACGATAAATTTATAATGTTATATAGATCGCTTTTTCATTTTCGTTATAAAACTTCTTTATTACTTCATCTGCTTTCGCGATAAAATGCTAAAACTCGATAGCACGGCGAATTATATTTCCTCATACATCTTATGACTAAAACATAACATAAAAAATGCATCATTTATACATATATGCATTGCATCAATATAAAAGTTCAATCTCTGTTGTATCGAAGAGAGTATTTAGTAATTTTCACAAACTAAGCAACGTCTTTGCAGAATCTCATTCATCTTCGATAAATATCGTCATTGATTTTATTGGATATTATAATGAGTAACATTATTGAACATTCGTAACAGTGACGTCTTTGAAAGCACGCACGATTTTCACATGTCTATTAAACAAAATCAAGAAAAAATGTAAATGCAATTTTCAATATTTCTCTCGCTATTTTCACAATATTTATCGCGAATATATATTTTGACAGTCATTTTTTAATGCAATTTAACATATCTATTTTCCCTTTAGTTATATGAGTTGTAAAATCTACATATATAACAAATTTACATGAAAATTATGCATTATTAAAGTATAGATTATTAAATATAACAATAAATTAGGTATTATTAATAAAAAAGTACAATGAAACTTTTATCAAGGAAAAAATTAAAATATAAGCGAAACATGGGATTTCTGTAAAACTACAGAAGATCCTATGACGGCATGAAATGTGTAAGAAGAATCGCGTAGGCGCGCGGATTCGCATGCGAACACGCAGATGACAGAAACGGTGGAGACGACGAGGTGGGAGATTGCGCACAGGGAAGAGAGGGATGGGCAGAATGCGAAGGCGTGCGAAACGGAATGACATTGTTTGCACTCGTGACGTCACCCGTAATTGTAATGAACAATGAGAGACGCGAGCGTACACATGCGTGCATACGCACTCGCGTACCGTATGTTCTTCGAAGTCTAGAGTTACCTGACGTCAACTATAAGCTGATAAATAGAAAAAGCGTCAACCTTTTATGTGTGTGTGCGTGTGGGATTACGAAATTGAAGAAACCGCCTGCGTAATTCGGATTTGCATACGTTATGAAGATACAATAAATATGAGTATGATTTAATCTATTATCTACTATTTTTTTCTATTTTCAAGAAAGGAAATATTTTATCCCGTAAAAAATATTTATAAATACTGTTGATTAAGTTATTATTAATCATCGTATTGGAAATAAATTGCATTATTGATCAAACTTATATTGTGATAAGAGTCAAAATCTTGATTGACAAGACATCATTGTTCATTGATAAATCGCTGATATAGAACAGATTACAAATTAATTTTATATTTATCTCGTACAAATGCTAATTGATGAGATTTTGTTTCAGTTGAGGCTGACAAGAGAATATGAATTTGATCTATTGGCGAAAACAAGTAAAGCTGGATCCGTTTGCCATTATAATTCTCCAAACAATAACACCATTCGAGTTAAGTTATGACGTTTATTCAGGATATGAGAAATATGAATTATGGCAAATGGGTCGAATATTTTGTATGCATATCGTTATCAGTCATACGAAATTATACGAATACGGCGTACCTTATTGCATGAAAAGTGCATTATCAGTTTGCTTATGAAATTATTGGCTTTGATTTACAAAATCATAAACATCGACATTTTATATCACTAAACAAAGTTTCTTCAAATTTCTTGCAGACGATCACGCCACATCTTAACAAAAGCCCGATAGGTAGTTTCCATAAGATAATAAATAAAATCTTGGCAATCTTGACATTCTAAATCTCTATTCGTCTTTATCATTATTTGACGAAAAAATAGCGGTAAAAAGAAGAAGATTCGAAGATAAGATAGAAACATGTATTACACGATGGCTTGATTATCGACGATTTCGTGACAATAATAATTTGTCGACAAGCACGTGGGCATGTCATTAGTGGTCTTATCTTGGCTAGAAGTTGCACGATTATTCTCTATTTTGCTGCGTTTTGTTATCTAGGATATATAGCGAACTCTCTTTAAACCAGATATGAACTGTTTACACAGTTCAATAAGAAATAATTTTCGAACATAAAAATAAGAATAATCAATTTTAATAATTTTTTGACACTGAATATGATTTCAATCTTCAAACTGTTATAAAAAAATTTTAAATTGCAAAAAACTAGTTTAATATATTTTATCGTATTATAACTACCATATATGACACATAAAAAAGTTTTTTTTGCTGTCAAAAATAGATACCTATGTGAGTGTTTAAAATTTTTTTTATGTTTTATTAAAGCTTTTAACTTTTAAAGGAGAGAATTTGTTATATCGATTATAGTTAATAAGATATTTATGATAAGATATTTTATTTAAATATGTAATTTATTGCGGGAAAATTTGCTCATTGAAAACCTATCAAATACTTTTCAATATGTTTATTTAAATTTAAGTATTTTCGCTTAATACGAATATGTCAAAATTGACGAATTGAAAATAGCGAAATTAATAAAAAATCTGATAATCTTTGAAATTTTAATATCCGGTATATTGATTTCGTCATTTTAACTATGTCAATTTCGACATGGAATTTATATTCTCTAAAAATCTAGAATATTATGCATTATTTTACATATTATACGATGGGAAATATATAGTAGATATTACATTGCATCTTTTACAGAGTTAGATATCAAAGAGTAATAAATGCTGAGACAGTTTATGAAGTACGATGTACAATGATAAATTGTAACGCATATAGACATTTTCTTTATTTGTTAGTAGTTTATAACTGAGCACACATCATTACGCACAATATATTAATAAAGTTGCATGGGTGTGAGATTCTTACGTCTATGCAAAAAAAGAATTAAATTGCAACACACAGTTAACACATCGCAATCGCGCCGGATGATCGTAATTTACGAACGAATTAACAACGCGAACAGAGAAATATGTTTATTCTCCTCTACTTATCATAGTCCACATCAGTGACGTAAATTTGAAATATTACATGTTATTATTCTCAATCACTGATAGGAATGCATTTCTAGACCGACGCATAAGTTGCAATAATGTTTTCTCTGTAATTCTTGTTATTATCATTTACTCAGTGTATATTTGACATTTCACTTTCTACAAGAATATATTTATATTGGACATAATAATTTATGCTAAATTATGTTAATTTATGCTAAATAATTTATGCTAAATGTTTCTCACAAACATTAACTCGCGTTAACTGAATTTTGAATGATCTTTCAGATCTTCTAACTCTTTCGATTCTAAGAAGAAAAGATCTAAGAGGAAAGATTCGATCAATCTTAATTTTTTATTACGAAACGATTCATAAGCATCTTTTTATAGGTGCGCTATTAAATCGCTAATGGGAATTTTTTTTCCTCATTGTAGTTTAATCTTCTAGTTTAATCTTCATTTCTTAGACCTCGAATTGGCCTTTCTATGTTTTTTGCTTCTTAAAGTGGCACTCTATTAAATTAAAAAAAATTAAATACACTCTTTTAATTTAAAGAGACAAAGTTTTGTTACTGTGGGAACGCGCAGTTCTTTTAACGCCGAGCGGTAAAAGCGAGCGAGAATTGCATTCTGCTCGCATCGTTGCATCCGCACATCCCGATGTTATGAAAATAATGCAACATGAGATAATAGGAAATATGCGTAATTTTGTCGGAAGGCTCAAAGTCGGATCGTTTCTGTTCCATAGGCGCTCTCTTATTTATCTCTCTTTTGTCATTTCCATAGTTTTTCCGGCACGTGCGTGCAGATTTTTCATACTCTAACGACGCAGGTGACTGTGATGATCTAATTGTGGGGATCCGATCTAATTCGGTTAATAAGTTCGACAAAAGCGCTCGGAGCGCAAATTTTTTGTTCATCATCCATCTACGTTATGATGCGAGATATGAAGATTCGAAAATCGGGGTTTAAGAAGTTCTCGATATGTTTGTGTTCATTAGAAATTTTTCATTAATTTATTTTAAATGTGTAAAGAAATAAAAGAAATACTTAGACTTATGATTCTAACATCTTTAAACTATCTGCGTTTTTAATTAAATAAGATTAAATTAATTTGAATTAAATTACAATAAAGCAGATGCATTTTATATATATAGTATCACGTGATGTAGAAAATGTATGCATATAATAGATGTTATATAATAGATGAAAAATTAAAATTTCAAGAAGATTATTTTTCACAGAAGTTTGGAATTCTTGAATGGATACATATAAACCAAATTTGAAGAAAATCTTATCGTATTATGCGGATTTAAAAATGTAGAGTTAATAAAAGGGTGTAATTGACGCGTACAAATTAATTCTATGAATAATAAATTGTGCAAAATTCCGATCTTTTGAAAAGCAATAAGGATCGTATCGTTATTATAATCAATTCAGAAGCATAAATCATAGACTTTGGAAATTTGTATCTTTGAAAAAAAAACTCTTATATGAGTTTTATAACAGTAAAGAAATTTCGTCACATTTTCTCTCGAGGGAAAAAAGGATGAGGGGAAATTCCTTTTGTTATCAACGTCGAGCAATAAATCCCCCGTGCTATCGTTTGATGATATATCCAGGGCTCATGATTTTTTTCAGATAACCACCTCGCGAACCTAACATGTTTTTCCAGAAACGGTCCCTCGGAGACGAGGAGACGCGGTACTGACCCTCGTGTCAGAATCCACCGGCGTTATCTCCGTCGCACGCGGAAGCTAACGACTAGCGAGCATTTACGATAGCGGGCACTTACGATAGCGGGCACTTACGATAGCGTGCACTATGAAGGGAATTTCGTTTGCAGAAAGAGGGA